ACTATAAACCCACCACAGTGCCAACCCTGAGCTGGCTACCATTCATTAGGCAGGTGCTCGATAAAGGCTGAACTTGTACTGAATCTCACATCAAATCAACAAAGGGCCCATTGTACCACTCACTGCCACCAGATGGCAGTTCTCTATCAGAAGTCTTCTTTGGAATTGCCTCATTATCCTCATTCCCCCTCCAATGTTTCCACGGAGTAACTTTATCTCACTGTAGTATTGTTATAAATTATTTCTACTTTTCTCTCTCAGACCAGACTGAGAGCTCCTCCAGGATCATCAACTAAGGATAATTCATCTCAGACCCATAAATGTTGGGTACTGGCCTGACCTAGGTAGGTAAATATTTTTAGAATGAATAAATGGATGGATGAATAGTTCTCTGAAAACTAATAAAATCCCACAGTTATCTCTATACTTTCTTCCCCAATGACAATTAAGAAACATTATTTGAGAACTTGTGCGCCCCATCCAGTGTCTAGAGATGGAAGTTTAGAATGGTAAAAGAATAAAAAATATAATAAAAGGGTTTTAGCCAACTGAAACTCTCCTTAGAGGAGCCCCTCCAACTCCAAACCTTCTTAGGCTAATGATGATGATGTAGCTTCTGCCATCTGGGCACCTTGGTCCAATGGAAGAAATACGCTGCTATCCTTGGAGAGAGCCCCGTATGGTTGGAATTGACAAGGCCTAGCCCTAGGGAGCTTTCACATTGATGAAGGACACGCACCTTCAAACATAAAACAGACCTAGTCATGGTTTGCAGACTCTAGTGTACCCCAACCCTCATAGGCCCATGTATTCAACAGACCACCAGCTCCTCCCATATTCCACACAAGAGGGCCCCCTCTTTTCCTCCCCACACCTGGAACTCTGAATCTGAAGGGAAACTGAAGAACTCTCTTCCTTCCCTGGGCATATTGTTGAGGAACTTTGCAAGTCATTGAGGCTAAATTGGGGGCCAAAGGGAGGGTCAGGAGCTCAAGCAGCTGTGGCATTTGGACTGGGAGTCAAGTATCCCCAGGGGGTGGGAAGAGACAAGCTTCCAGGCAGGAGGGGCGGAGACCAGAGAGTGAAAATCCCTGAGCTCTGCTCAGTGTCACAGCTCAGAAGAATATGCATGGAGGCTCATTCTCCCCCTTTCCCACCTCACTTATCTAATTAGCAGAGGAGTGTAAAAAGTCAGAAATCCTATCTCTTCTGGCATTCTCCAGCCACCTCTACCCTCTCTCCACCCTCCCATTCCACACCCCACCCCACCCCCAACCTGCTCTACCGTCTAAGTAGTCTTTGTAAGTGCAGAGCCCTAGAGAGAGCCTGGGAAAGAGCCTGGGAAAGAAACATGGGGGAATCAAGGATTTGGGGAGTTTAGTGAGAGTGCCCATTGGGAAAGAAGCATTGGCCTGGGATTCATACCATCATCATCACTGGGCAACCAGCTTGCCCAAAACTGTCCTGGTTTAAGTAGCTAAAGTCCCACACCATGGGAAACCCCTCAGTCTTAGGCAAACCAGGATGGTAGGATCCAGGCTCTCTTTGTGTAACTCTGAATAAGTGCCCCCTCTCTAGACCTCAGTTACTTCTTTGTAAAATGGGACCCACTAGCTCAGACACTCTATGGTTCTATGAATAGCCTCTAGATCTCCTGAAGCTGGGCATGGCAAAGGTGACTCTATCTTACACCTCACTGATTTCAGCTCCCAGTGCTTCCGTAGGACTCCTGGAATCTGATCTTCCTGGTACATTAAAGGTAGAAGGGGTCTTCAGGATATCTGGTCTTATCTCCTTTCTAGCTCAATGAAGATTTTTCCAGAGGTACATGTATTTATTCATTTTATTCCACTTACCACTTTCTGCCCTACATTATAGTTAGACACAAACTTCATTATATTCTATGCTCCTTGAGGGAAGGTAGCAAGGCCCATGGCTCAGCAAGGGTTAAAGCCTTATACATGATTAAAACAAATATTTTGTGTTAAATTCCACATAGAAATTTTTTGCTCTTTATCTCCTAATGGCCTCAAGGGAGAACACAGGGCTTCAATGGCATTCTGGGAGTTGGCTCCAAGAATTGATTGTTAAATTTGCAGGAATTTTGTAAACTGGTTGTTAAACACAGCCATTATTAACACTTAAATTATATAAACTTAAAATTAAACAAATTATATTAAAAACAAATATAACAAGTACTTACGTACCTCATTTTACTATTATCTATACTATTAAGGTTATTTACATCAATTATAACTATATGATCGATTTACTATATGATGTGCTACTGTTCATCTTTCTCAAGTTCATATTGGTAGTTTGAAATTGCTCATGGTAAGAGTATTTTACACCATGAAAATCAGCAAACACTACCAACGATGGCTTCTGTCACATCAGAACTGGTCGTTAAACATCTACCAGCACACCACTGGTTCAGAGATTATTCTGTCTGTTTTGTCATAGGCCCACTCTATCTCCACTGTCATTTTCTGCTCTGGTCTTCAATTCCAAATTTCCATTCCGAGAAGAGAAACCAAGGGTTGGATCATCATTTAAAAACTAATGAGATAATAGATCTGGGATTAAGGAAATGGGTACACAGGTTGGGGCTGCAAATGATTTGTAGACTCCAGTGTGGAGTGCCTGTCTTTGGCTCTTCTTCCAGGGGACCCTCTGTCCACAGTGAAGAACTTTGGTCAGTCTAGCATAGAGGTTTTTTGTTTGTTTGTTTGTTTGTTTGTTTGTTTGTGTGTTTGTTTTACAGCAGCAAAAGAATAACTTTATTGGAAGGGAGAGTAAGGAGACAGTACACTTCCAGACATGGAAGTCGGCCCAAGCAAGAGAAAGGTGGCTCAAAGGCCACAAAGAAGTCTTATATAGACAGAGCCCCAAAGGACTCTGAAGAAAGCATTGGTTGTCCTCCAGGTATCCATCTTACAGGTCTATCCTGATGGCAACTGAAGGATTCAAAGATAAGATGATTCCCATGCTGCCAGCTGGGGAAGACAATACTTCCCCATTTCCAGCCTATAATCACCTCTAGGATTAATAAATTCTGCAAATCTTAAAGTTATGATTATAGTATGCAAGAGAGCTGAGAAAATCTTTAGAAGCCACTCAACTTTCAACATTTTCCCTACTCCCTCATTTTACAGATGAAGAAAATGAGTCCATGGAGTAGTTAATAGCTTGCCTGAGGTCACACAACAGATTAGTGGCCAAACCCCTAATTAGGGCTCCTAATACCTGGAGCAGAGTCCTTTCCTTAACATCTTAAATTCCTTTTAGAGAAATTATATAATCTTTAGAGAATCTGAGCAGGAGCAAGCACAAAGTTTGTGTACAAAAAGGCACGCCAACTTCCCCACTGCTTCCTAGAAAATAAAGGGATATTTTTTATAGAGTACCAACTAAATGCCAGGTGCTACAGGGGACACAGAAGAATAAGACCCAGTAACTCAAACACAGAAAATGAATTTAGAATCACTCCTAAAACTCTTTAAAGGGAGGGGACTACTTTGCGGCTAATGCTAACCTGGTTCTGACCCCATTGAGAGTGGCGTCTTAAGAAGTGAAAGTTAAACATTAGATTCAGATAGGGAATAGTAGGAAACAGAGAGAAAAGACCACTGAGGCAAACTCAATGGGTTTTTCCCAGGTGACTCAAGTCTCACAGATCTCTTTTCCCCAAGGAGAGAAGCCCACAAGCAAGCAAAGGAAGAGTTTGCTGAGCTGAAGCAGAGCTTTAGTCTATTAAGGAATTTTTCATCTGTGACAGTTGCATCCTTCCTCCTAGAAAAATGAAACAGAAAAAAATACATAGAAAATAAGAGCCCAAATTTCTTATTATTAGGTTCGACATATCTAAAATTAACAACTTGCTATACAAATTTCTAAACACTTTCATTTCTGTATTTATCTTGCCACAGAAAGATAAGTTTGCAGCTCAACACCAACCCTGACCCATACTTTGAGTGCAGTGCCCTAAAAAGGCCTGGGGACTCCTTAGCCCCTGGAAATTCTTTGGTAGGGAGATGTCTGAGCTCTTTTTCTCATTCAAATTAGGTCTAGGGTACTGGGAAGTGATCTGTATATCCATGGTCATAGTCGGGGCTATGACTTTCTGTTTGTACTTTATCCTCAATCTCTCATCTGTCCTCCTCAGCCCCAGGAAAGAGCTTCACCAACAAAGGAAGATCTCCATTCCTTCACTGTATGCCCAATCCTACCTAATGGTGCCTCAGGTCCCTACTAGGGACCACAAGTTCATTCCTTCCTTCATTTGTTCATTCATTCATTCATTCATTCATTCATTCGTTCATCCAGGCATCATCTTAAGCACTAGTACAAAGTGAATCAATCTAAAAGATTCCTGTCTAAAGAGATGATGTCCTTGCAACAAAATAGAATCAGAAAGAAATCCATCAGTCTTTTCAAATACTACCCTTGGTGATCCAAAGGTTGATCCTCAAATATATAAGCAGCTATCAAACAGGAGATCTAACTAACCCTCAAATACAAAATGACAGACCTATTAGGAATGAAGGAAATTTACCAGAACTTACTTTGGTGGAAATGTGCTAGAAGGGACTGTTGCAGAGATGGCCTCTGACGTGTTTCTGTTTCATGGTCCCACAATTCCATGACTTTGATGGCTTTACAGTCACCAAGGGAGGAGGAAGAAATAATGCACTCTTTTATGTGGGTAAAGCATATAATTATTAACACCTTAGAGAGGATGGCAAGGCAAGAAATGGGGTCGCATTGACAGATGACACTGTAGCTCCAAGGGATGGGTGACCTACCTTCAGGGTTAGGAACCTCATCTGCTCCAGGCTACAAGATTCTGAGAAATAAGCCCTCAAACACAAAGAGACATAAGTCTCACTTACAGAGGAAAGAAACCTCCAGAGTACTGAAAGACTTCAGACCCTCTGTCAGTCTGGGAGAGAGAAAGGGCTGGAGGGGCGGGGCAGGGCTTTCCTTGAGGCTTTGGGCTGAGTCCCTCCTACCTGGTCCCCTATTGGGTCAGAGACTCCTGAAGCCCTGCCAGTGAGGGACAAATGAGAAGAGCTGTTGATTTTTCTTTCCCCCTTGGCCATTCAGAATTTCCCCCACATAAATACTGAGAAAGATCCTGCCCTCTCCTCCCTTTTTCTCTCTACTTGTCCCTGTGCTGAATCTGGTCCCCTAGGTGTGGGCATGGCCATGGAGGACCTGTTTATGCTCAGGGTAACTATGGGCATATGCTATGCCACCTTCAGTGCCTCTGCCTGGTAAGTTCTTCCCCCCACCTCTCACTCTCTGCCAAGGAAGCTCCCATTATCTCATCCCTGTTCACCACTGCCTCATTTTTGTTCTTTTTGGTAGGTCAGTGAACAATTTCCTGATAACAGGTCCCAAGGTAGGATGGTTTCTGCTTTTTCTATTTTTACCTATACAGCTTCCTAATGGAACTCTTTGGGAGAAGGAAAAGAGGGGAGGGAAAACAGTGCCAGAAGTCCCCCACTCAGAGGAACCCATGATTGTTCCTTAATGGAGAGCTAACTCTATTTGAGTCCTGCCTGCATCCTCAATCCCAGATGACCTGACCTGAGCCAGGACTGAAGCTCATAGCCCTCTCTCCTTTGCCAGGCCTACCTGACCTATACTACCAGCGTGGCCCTAGGTGCCCAGAATGGCATCGAGGAGTGTAAGTTCCAATTTGCCTGGGAACGCTGGAACTGCCCTGAAAATGCTCTCCAGCTCTCCACTCACCACAGGCTGAGAAGTGGTAAGTTTGTGCACCTGTGCAAGGGGGTATATGTGCCCGGAGGTGGGCTTGCAGTGTGTGTATGTATAGCATATATGTGCACAGTGAAATGAAAAATTACCTGTGACCTGCTGACCTGCCACTTCCTAGCTGTGTGACCTTGAGTGAGTTACTTCCCCTCTTTCAACCCCAGTTTTCCCATTGGGTCAATAAGGCCAGCTCTATTTAGCTCACTAAGAGTATTATAAAGGTTGAATGAGATGAATACAAAGGTATTTCTATACAAATGAAATAATTATTCTATTTTTTTTAATGCATGCCTGTATTTGGGTGTTTGTACACACTTATCTTGCACCGATTTGCATGAAATAAAAATGGGGAAAGGGCTCTGTGTTTGCAGCCCCTGAGGGAGTTTACAATCTGTTCAGCTGTCATAAAATCTCAACAACAGAGAAACTGGGAGATCACATTGAGCTGTGCCTCAGGTGGGATGTGTGTGTGTGCGCGTGCGCACTTGTCCAGCTGTTTGTAACTATGTGTAGTTTGCATAAAAGTCATTAATGTAGGAACAATAGTTGCCTGAGACGAGTCAAGGAAAGGAGTAAATGGGACAAAAAAAAAAAAAAAAGTCTGCTATAGGGTATACAGAAAGAATGGGGAGTTTGTGGAAATGACATGGGACAATGTTTATAGTTCAGTAAGATACAAGCTCAGTAAGTCGTAGCCATGATCATTATGATTATTACTTGGCTTCAGCTTCATGTCAGAAAGAAAAGGTCCTTCTCTCTTTCCTAAGACAGCCTGTGGCCCTGAGTCCTCATTGCCCAAGAACCAAAAGCAGTGGCTAATGAACAGAGGCCTAGGCTGAACTTCAGGAGAAAAGAGTCGTGGTCCCAACACCACAGCTGGTGAGGAAAGTGGCCTTGGTCTCATCACTCTCT